AAGTTTAGATGATCCTACACTTAATAACAATGCTATGTTTATTACTTTATTGACAGTTAAAAAAAAATAAAAATCTATACATCTATTTTTTATAAAGATAAAATACATGTTTGTGCTTTCCACTATATATTAATTAATGTACCCATCAAAAAAACAATAAAAAATATAATAATGTCGTTAGTCATACATCGTATATTTCAAATCTTGAATCCACCCAAAAATCCCGTAATGCCGGACTGAATAAATAAGGGACCAATGATTAAAGGTTTGAGAAATCATCAATGTACCCTATGAATAAAATGGGCACAACACTAACACTAGCACATGTTCATACAAAAGAAGTCATGCAACGCGTTTTAAATCCCACAATTCAATCGTAGAACGATGAACACACCCCGCACACGTATACTGATAACCAAAGTAATTTAAGGCAACTTTATTGACCTTCTTTGATGAACATATCTAAGGAAAGTGATAGCTAACAGCTTTACTTTTTGAAAGAAAGCTAACAGCTTTACTTGTGGTAGGTCCAATTAATTATTCCAATTAATTAAGGGTATGTTTCCAAATCATAAATCAAAATTCTTATTAAATTACGCAATAATCAATTCCATGTGAATTTAATTAATAAATTATGAATTAGAGGCACCAATTTCATAACGGCGATTTTTAAGGTGACAAATGGATTTTTGGTGTTAGTGATTTGCAGAGTATTTTAAGCCAACATTCTTGCGACAAATCACCATTTTTCTTTGTTAAAAAACATATTTTTAAAATAAAGTGCCAAGTTTAATGACTTTACTTATCATTGAATTAATGGACTGATTTGCCGTATCAGTTTAATACTTTGCTTGATTCTTTGAACAACTTTTGTTCGTTTCTTTGCTAATTAAAATTCTGGTTGGTGAGTACAGTGTAGGACATACAATACGGAGTATTAATTAATTACTTCTGCCATAAAAACTGCCTAATTTAGTTTTAATTATTCTCATTAATGGATTCGTGTTTTGGAATAGCATTGGTTACACAAATTTTCCAACAACATTTAAGTTTTTTGGCAAGTTAAAAATTACGGAGTACCATGGTTTCATGATATTATTGTTGCATTGTTGTATTTAAGATTTTACTTTGTGGTTCATTAATAATTTTGTTACTACAAAAATTAAGCTAAGTTACATTGATGCTATAAAGTGACAAATAACATTGCATTGATTTTGTCATTCTTGTGTGAATAATGTGATAAATGATAAGTTGATCAAACGAAATTGACCAAAGTAAGATATTTAAGTTGAGTTATGTGGAATTCACTTTCACTATTTCTAGTATCCATGTATCTTCTGTGATTTTTCCTATTTTAATTAGATTAAAAATTAAATATTAACATTTGTTATCTTAAATTTATAACAAATCTTACTTTACAATTTTTAAAATATTTGCACTGTTTCGTTTATATTATGTTCTTTTGAACTTATTTTCAGTTCAAGTCAGTTTAATTTATTACTTTACTTTATTTTAGCTCCAAAGAACAAGGCCTTACTATTTTATATAGTTATCTCTTAAATTTATTTATTTATTTTTTCCTTAAATCCTTTATTTTACTCCATTTTTATACTATTTTACAATTTTTTCTTTCTCCCATTCATTTATTTTCTCCAAAATAAGTTTCTCCCATTCATTTATTTTGTACAAAATAAGTGACTCAAACATTCGAAAAGCAAAACAAATACTACTATGTGTCTATGTATCTATTGTAAAATCGTTATGAGTATTAAGTAACCTAATACAGAGTAGAATTTACTTAAAATCTTACTAACACACAACAAGTTGAAATCAAAGTTCCATAAACGAGATTGTGAGAAACGTATGGCTAGAAAAAATAAAAATTAATCCTTCGGTTCTAGTATAATGTACTAACATGTAATTTAACATAAACTATCTCATCTTATTCAAAAAATCAAACTTTTTTTTTTTTTAATTTGAAGAATTCTAAAAATCAAACTTAACATATGCAATTTTTTACGACAGAAATGGTCCGTAATATTCAGCGGAAATGTGCTTCTAGGCCGGGTTTTAGCAAGGCCTTAAGACGCTTGATTTTTCATTAAAATTAAATGAAGTAAGTTTGGCAATGCACTTATTAAATTAAGTCATTACTAGCACTCGTAATTAATTTACATTGAATGCGGTTGTAATAATCTAAATGTCAATGTGGCTCTCTTAAAAAAAAAAAATCAACAATGCAATGACACTCCACTTGACCGAGTATAAATATCCCAACACAACGGTAAATTTTTCTTCCCAAAAATGTAAATTTGATGAGATTTTCACTGCAACAAAATTCCTCTAGTCCCTAATTTGGCCTAACTAAGGAAAAAATTGATGAAAATGAAGCATATAATCAAGACTTAGTCTTCATAATTCTCTAATCCTGATGTAATCCTACTTCTATGGCTTTCCAATAATAGTCTTTTTTATTAATTTTATCTACTAATGCAATATAATACCACATTAGTCATAGATTATAAATTTAATTTAAGAAAAAACTACATACATTCTTCTATTTATAAATTTGGACGTAACAGAACAGAACAAGTAGGCAACAAAATTGGAATTGAAAACAAATACCTCCGTTAGATTTAATTGTCTAGTTAGTTTATGTTACGATCTAACAGGTAACGCGACAACTAAATCTTAATAAAGGCACAAACTAGTAAGTTAACTAAAAATAAAGCGAAAATTAATCACGGAAACATGAAACTAACCTTACTGGGTATCCTTCTACCATGGAAGACTGAATTTGTTGGAAGAGATTCATTATAAGAAAGATGAGAATGAATGTAAATGTTATAAAGATCTTCATGACCTTTAAAGAACAATTCCCAAAGAGGTGCTAATGGTAATGGACCTCTAACCAAAAACATAAAAGCAATCTTTTTTTTCACAAAATTTGAAGGATAAACTCCTCCACCTAATTTAGGCACCATTGATGCTCTCCATAACAATTCATCATCCTCCATATCATGCATAACTGTGTCATTGATCGTCGTAGCATTCGATCCCGACACTGGAACATCGAAATCATTATCCGAGACGGTGGCCGTGAAGTTAAGAAGCTCAAGATTATTAAGAGGAATTGTATAACTTGAAGATGTATCATGGCTAAAGAATGTACTACCAATGGTTAATCCGAAAGCGAAAATGACTAAGTAAGAGATTAAATGAATGAGGTTAATTTGTATGTTTAGGAGTTTGTATGATGAAGTGGGCATTGTTGGTATGTTGTTCTTCATTGTGTAAGAACAGAAAAATAAAAATGTTGCTGAATTTGAAATTTTATAAAAGGAAAATAAAAAAGAAGAGATGATGTGTATATGTGAAAAAAGAGTGGCTTAAATAAGGTAGCGTTGCTCAGGTGGAAAGTTCACAAAAGTAAAGGAATGAGCAAGTCTAAGAATAGCAGCTTAGACGCCTTGCGTTTCTTTGAAAGAGCGTACATATGAATTGAATAATAGTCAGCAAAAGGACACCTCCACACAGTTATTTTTTTATGTATAGTTTTAATTTATGCCAGCATTCTTGACCGACTGATTTAATTATCGTACTAGCGACATTTCTGGAGAAATTTAACGGGCGGGCCGTCGGTCAACCCGATCTTAGTTACGGCCCACCAAATCTGTGTTGAGCTAGGTGATCAAAAATTGGGTTGGACCGAGCTTTTGTATAAATTCTAGCCTGTGTCTCTACCCGCATAATAATGTTCGGTTTGTTGTACCAAAGCAAGCACTTTGGGCTCTTTTTGGATCGGGTTAGGATTATGAACTAAAAATATGTTTTAGATTTGTCTAAATTAACACTTTTTTTGGCTGAACCAATGGTGATCACTTCTAATGGGCTGGTTTTTTCAAGTTTAGCATTTTTTATTATTTCATCCCTCCAACACTCTTACTTGCTCTGTTTTTTTAAAGTGCTCCATACCCTTGGGCACATAATTTTAGGTAAGAATAAAATAGAATTAACGGATTTTTCATAAAATACCACTGAGTTTTTCGAAAATTCACCACATACCACACAAATTTTTTTAATTCACCATATACCATTCAGTTTGTGCACGTTAGCACAGAATGCCATTAATGGTAACTTCTGTTAGTGTCCCGTTTGGGGTAAATTACTAATTCACCATATACCATGATTTTATGTTTTTTTGCATGAAATACCATTTTTTAAAAATATAGCCGTTGAACAGTTATAACGACTAGTTTGTGTAAATATATGTAGTTCTTGAGGGAGTCACGCACCAAGGAACACCTCTAAGAGCATTTGCAAAGATGTCCACAAACTCGAGATCATTATCATCATCGTCTTCTCTCGGGTCTTCGTATGTAAGGGTGCCAAACAAAGCATGTTGTTGTGGTAGGAAGTTTGCAATAAGAAGCTCCGATTCGGCAAAAAAATCCACAAAGGTTGTACTACAAGTGTGATGTATGTGATACATTCAAATGGTGCAAGGGCAATGTTGATCAAAATGTCTCATGGGGTTATGAAAATCAAAGCAGGGGAGGGATAGACACGCATGGAAGTGAGACCGTGTTGAAGCAAGAGTTGAAGGAGCTGAAGAAAAGAGTAACAAAACAACAAAAGATAGTGAATGGAGCAATAAAAATAGGAGCAATTTTGTTTATTTTTATTGTATTTGTAGCCTTGAAATGAAAAATGTAAGACAAAAATTTCGTTGCTTAAATAAGTTGCACTTCAATTGCTTACATTGTTTGCAAAAAAATATGCCTACATAATTGTTGAGTGCTTGCATTACATTGTTCAATAAACAACTTGACACTAAACACTTAAGATTAAATATTGTTCACCAAAAAATTACACTTGACAACCAGCTTCAACAATGCTAAGTAGCAGAGCCTTTCTCTTCTTCCCCCTTGTGTTGCCTTGCTGTGAAGAGGAAGCTGCATTTTCTGCCTTCTTCGCTGCTGCCTTTCTTGCCTTACAGGTCACTGCATTGTGTCCCAGTTCTTTGCATAGACTGCATTTGTTGTTCTTGTGCCTCTTTCCTTTTTTTGCTTCATGAGAGGCTCTTCTCCTTTGCTTAGCTGGTCTGCCTGCACTTCTTTTGCCTTGGAGTGATGCAATTTCTGGCACATCAAGTGATGGCCAGTGAGTTGGATGTGGTCTCCATAAGTCAGTTTGTATGCAGCCCCCTTGTAGAAAGGTGACACAAAGTCCCTTGGTTCAAGTCTCTGGTCGTAAATGACCCTGAGACCATGCTTGCATGGGATCCCTGATCCTTGTCATTTCCCACACCCACAAGTCATATTCCTAAGTGTGACAGGGAACTTGACATGGCCATCCCTCACCTCAAACTCTCCACCACCAGCTGTAGTGACATGACAGAACCTAGACTCATCAGTCCTGGTCTCCAACACCCCCTGTGCATGCTCTGTCAGCTGATTTGGTTCCATGTCCACTGCTTTATCGAACCTGGAACCCATCCTTTTCATGCACCAATTCCTAACAGCTGAATTATTCCCAAAAAAGAAAGTCACAGGAAGCAACAATAAGTACACAGACATCAGCTCATTGTGGTATAAACAAACCAATTTGTATACATTGAAATGAACAAAATAGGCACAACAGTTTACCTTCCAGCAATGTCAACATAGGCATGTCCCTGTTGGACTTTGTTATTGCCTTGAATGACTCTACGAAGTTTGTTGTGTTATGATCACAACATACTGTCCTGTCAAACATGTGCACACTCCACTGCTCTTCCACATTTGTCAGGTAATCAAATGCTGCTGCATCATTACTCTTTTATCTTGGACATTGCTTTTCCAAACACATATTCATTGTAGGCATTTGCAGCAACCCAAATCAGCTTATGAAATGTTGTCCCACTCCATCCTGCACCCTTGCAATTTGAGTACAAATGCTGGCAGCATATTCTCCTGGTAGCTCTTGGGAACACCTCAAACAAAGCTGATTCAATCCCCTTAAAAAAAACAAGACTAAGTTAGTAAAAAGCATCATCATCACAAATTAAAGACAAAGAAGAAACTTACCCTCATCCTGTCACTTATAAAAGTCCAGTCATCCTTCTGAGATCCATACTGAGCAAACAGGCACCTCAAGTTTCTGAAGAAATAAGTCTAGGAATCTATGCTCTCTGTGTCAACAATCCCATAGGCTAACACAAAAATCTCATTATTCCCATCAATTGAAACTGCAGTGAGCATAATCCCTTTGTAATACCCACTTAAATGTGCACCATCTATTCTTATGATAGGTCTACAACCACCTAAGAATCCTTTCACTTGAGTTGCAAAAGATATGAAACAGGCCTTGAATTTCAAAATATGACCCCCACTATCAGTCCATGTAATAAGAGCATATGACCCAGGATTTGTGGACTTTATCATTTCAGCATACTTTAGAAGAGCTGCATAGGACTCAGCAAACCCACCATGTAATTGCTCCCTGCCTAAACTCTTCACTTTGTATAACAACCTCAACTTCACATGGATCCTGTACCTTTCCATGCACAGTCTCTGTAATGAATCAACTGGGACATCTGGGTTTGCCTCTAAGTCTTGTAACAAATGCCTGCATAGCCATGCTGAAAAGACCATAAGATTCTCTTCCAGCCTCCCACAAGTTGCATGCTCTCCTTCTAGCTTCTTTATGGCCCAACTGACTTTGTCTCTCAGAACTGAAGCATGAATCCTCCAATTGCAATCCCTCATCAGACACCTTGCTATGTACCTTTGACTATCAGCATGGTCAACTGAGACAGAGAAGCCCTCTTGTATGCAGTAATCTCTGAAAACCTCTAGAAACTGTGCTTTGGTTTCAAAAATCAACCACTCTTCAAGTTCAATGGATCCAAATGGTAAGTGAGACAAGATTTTACCATTTTTGTACATTTTGTCTAACACATGGGACCCATCTAAGTAATCCTCAAATCTCTTCTCAGGTATATTATCAGGAACATCTTCTTTTCTCACAATGAACTCATCCTCAATGTCCAACTCCATATCATAATCAGCCTTGTTTAGGGTAAAAGTTACCCTAGATTACCCTAGACACGTGGCCCAATGAGGGCCTAACACGTGTCACCTCCCTATAGCACCATGGGCATCCAACCGATGGATGCCATGTGGCATTGTACCCCTAATGGGGGAGCAGATCCTCATCTGCTATAAATAGAGAAATTATCCTCATTTATTGGCATTCATAAATACACACACCAAACCCAAGCAATATTAATTGCGGAATCTCCCGGAACATGAGAGAAAAACTTGTTTACTTTCCGCACGTAATCTCATCCGGAATCATACTAACTTGATCTTCGGAGGCGGAACTCCACCCAACCGGAGTTTCGTGGTTTTGTAGGTACATAAGTCAGGCGTGCATTCCCGGTGTTGTAACTCTCCCGCAGGACACCTCAGAAAACCCCGAAACATTTGGCGCCGTCTGTGGGGAGAGTACCACTGAGATGACATCTGAAAATGTACCAACAGCAGAGGGCAGCCGGCCCACGGCTGGCCTTGAGGTCCATACGGACCACGAAAGTGGAAGTGGTGACGACTACAATGTCGAAACCTATATGGCCCCAGACAGGTCATTCCGTTCTAGGCGCACCCGTTCCAAAGAAAGGAAGGAACGGGGCCAAGACAAAGCTTGCCCCAACAACCCAGGCGGCAAGCACCCTGGACAACCCCAGGCGGAGAAGGGGGCTGCCCCCATCACCAGAGACGAACTCATGAATCTCATGACTAGTTTCAAAGGGGAAATCAAGGACATTATCAAGAAGTCAGCTAGCTCCAGCAAAGGCCAGTCGGCCAAGAAGGCTTCCGTGAAGAATCCAATTAAAGACCGGGTGCCTACTCCTCACCCGAAGCCCAAGGGGGCGGATGGGCCCCTGATCGATCTTTCAAAAATTCGTTTCCCTGAATCAGGGCAGCGAAAGGACATCCGACACATACAATCGGATGGGTCAAAGAAGACCTTCTCTGATGCCCGGTTGTTAATCCAGGAGAAGAGAAGTCAGAGCATGTCTTAGTTGGCTTCTACGTCGACCTACCTAGACAGTTTCCACAATACTTCAATGAAGCATTCGAAAACCAACCCAGGGAGCAAGTCACACGGCACGTCCGTACGTACTGCTCCTCATGTGATCCATCAGGCTCCATATGTGCCCCAACAACCATATGGACCCGGTTCACCCTATATGCAGCTGTCCCCCTTTGGAGGACTGGCGGCAAATATAGTCCAACCCATGGACTGGCAGCTCCGGCTGCTAAACCTAGGGGAACAACCTTCAGCTTTCTCCCGGGAAATAACCGAGGCGGCGCAACCGGCCAAGATAAAGAACGTGTTGGTAGGTACCTACGACGGTACCACCAACCCGGAAGATCATCTGATGGCATACACCAACCTCATGTACCTACACGGGTTAGATGATGCTGCTTGGTGTCGATGCTTCCCAGCAACGCTGAAGGGCATAGCCCAACTGTGGTTTGGCAACCTGCCGGCTGGGTGCATCAATAATTTCAAGACGCTTGCATATCTGTTTGCGTCCAACTTCTCCATGAATATCCCTGCCAAGAAGACTAACCTCAACCTTGGGGCTATCCAGCAGGGAGATAAGGAGGGACTTCGGTCCTATGTCAGGGGGTTTAATCTGATGAGAATTCAGATACAAGGACTGTTCGATGAAGTTGCGTACACAGACCTTTTCAAGGGTCTGAAGGATGGGTCAACATTCAAGTTTGACCTGGTCCGCAAGAGGGTTGCTACCTTCCAGGAGGCACTAATGGAAGCCGAAGCCTACATACAGGCGACGGAGCTCTGTGCTATCAAACACTCATCAGAGCCCAGGCGGTCTGACAAAAAGGAGAGCCGGCCTCCACAACCGGCCAAAAGAGAAGAGAAGAAAAGAAAAGAAGTCTAGGCAGCTGACCGCCTAGGTCAGTCGTCCCAGAAGAAGCAGAAGAAATTGGAACCGTACGTCCCCAAGTACGAGTTCAACAGTTGACTATTGAGAAACCCACTCTTTTGAAGAGCGCTGTCAAAAATCGGAACAAGAGCAAGTATTGTCAATTCCATGAGGACATTGGCCATGACACCAATGGTTGTTATAGCCTCAGGCGGCTATTGGACCGTCTGGCTGATGAGGGGGCTTTGAAGTCCTATCTGACGAAGTCCAAGGGTAATCCCAAAAACAGTGGACAACCGTCAAAGAAACCGGTTGTAAGCTCTGACACTGATGAGGAGCAAATCTACACCATTGTAGGTGGCCTCGCTAGTGGGGGACCCTCCATCCGGGGTGCCAAGGACAACATCAGAAAGTTGTCCAGCTTAGAGGATGAGGGCCAGGCGTCGAAAGACACCTTTCCTGAGGTCTTCATCTCTGAAAAGGACAGGGGTACGGTCAGGCGGCCCCACGATGACCCAATCGTCATCGAATGTAAAGTCGCCAATCAACGAGTTGGCCGGATCTTGATCGATACCGGGAGCTCGTCTGACCTGATAAGCTATCGCTGCTTGACAAAGCTCAAGTACAAACCCAGCAGTATGCACAATGCTCCCCACCCTCTAGTCGGCTTTGGAGGCGGGGTGGTGCATCCGGTACCCATCCGGCTGGGAGGCAAAGGGGAAGGACGGCACATGGTTGTAAAAATTTTGGTGGTTGAGGAATTAACTGCCTACAACCTTATATTGGGTCGTCCGACCCTCAACGAGTCCAAGGTTGTCATCATCCCTACCCTTATGCTAATTAAATTCGAGAGGGATGATGGGTCAGTAGGCTCCCTAAGCGGGGACCAAAAGGCGGCAAGAGAGTGTTATCTCTCAGACATCAAGCCGACTGCCCATGCAGCCGACCCCAGCGAGGAACCTACTGCCCTCGTGGACAAAGAAGTCGGGCCTGCCCCTAAGGCAGGCGGTACAAAGAGAAAGGCGGACCAAGTGGCCCCCGCCAGAAAAATGAAATAGCAATCACTAGCCGGTGAAAGGCCGGATGACTCCCAACCTCAGCCGGCTGGTGAGAGCATTGATGTCGTCCTGGACGAAAGCCGTCCTGACAGAACAGTCAAGGTTGGGACGGTTTCTGATGAAAGTTGGGGGAAAACTTGCTCCAACTTCTGAGAGAGTTCAAAGGCCTCTTTGCCTTTGAAGTGGAGGAGATGCCAGGCGTTAGCCCGGATCTAGCCGTCCACAAGCTAGCCGTGGATCCCAACATGAAGCCGGTTAGGCTAAAGAAGAGGGAACATGGCGAGGAGAGGTCTCAGGCGGCTGCCGTCGAGGTAAAAAAACTCCTGGATGCTGGGTTCATTCGGCAATGATACTACCCGGATTGGGTAGCCAATGTTGTTCTCGTCAAAAAACCGAATAGTACCTGGCGGATGTGTGTAGATTACACAGATCTGAACAGGGCATGTCCAAAGGATAGCTACCCGCTTCTTAAGATTGACAGTTTGGTTGACTCTACAGCCGGCCATGCCCTGATGAGATTCATTGACGCCTACTCAGGCTTCCATCAAATTCCCCTATGGAAGAAGGATCAGGAGAAGACGGCCTTCGTCACTGATCAGGGGTTGTACTGCTACACGGTGATGCCGTTTGGGTTGAAGAATGCGCCTACTACCTTCCAACGAATGATCAACACGGTTTTCACCAATCAAATCGGAAGGAATGTAGAGGCGTATATTGATGACATGATAGTCAAATCCAAGCTCTAGGCGGATCGCCTAGCTGACCTCCGAGAAACCTTCACCACACTCTAGCGGCACAAGGTCATGCTTAACCCTAAGAAGTGTGTTTTTGGTGTTGAGTCTAGGAAGTTTCTCGGATTTCTGATTGATCAAAGAGGCATAGAGGCCAATCCGGAAAAAATGCAGGCGGTGATTGACATGCAATCACCGCGAACCGTCAAGAAGGCCCAGAAATTAACCGGTTTCCTGGCGGCATTAGGAAGATTCCTCAGCCGGTCAGGTGACAAGTGCCTTTACTTCTTCCAAGTAATCAGGAAGTGGTCTAGATTTGAATGGGGAGAAGAGGCCGAGGCGACATTCTAGAGGTTAAAGCAACACTTGCACTCTTTGTCAAGGTTAGTGAGCCCCCTGTCCAAGGAGGTTCTCTACATGTACCTAGCCGTCTCAGATCACTCCCTTAGTGTCGTTCTCCTTGCTGAGAGAGACGGCAAGTAGTTCCCGGTGTACTTCATCAGCCACATTCTCAGAAATGCTGAGCTCCGGTACCCAATGATTGAAAAATTTGGGTTGGCTCTCTACAAGGCAGTCAAGCAGCTGAAGCCATACTTCCTAGCCCATCCGGTGACTGTCTACACTGATCAGCCACTCAAATGTCCAATGACTACCATAGAGTCATCCGGCAGAATGATCAAGTGGGCTGTTGACATACAAAGCCTGGAGATAAATTTTGAACCTAGGCGGGCAGTGAAAGGTCAGGCGTTTGCCGACTTCATTGTCGAAATGACTTGTCGAGCTCAGCCGGAAAAAACCGATCAGGTTTGGAAGTTATTTGTAGACGGAAGCTCTACGATAAACGGCTGTGGTGCAGGCGTAATTTGTAAATCTCCGGAAGGTGATACATACGAATATGCAATACGGTTCAAATTTCAAGCTTCAAACAATGAAGCTGAGTATGAGGCCCTGCTAGCCGGTATGCGCATTTGTAAGGCGATAGGAGCAAGAAAAGTTGACGCCTGCTCGAACTCTCAATTGATTGTTAGCCAATTCAATGGTGACTATGAAGCCACCCATCCGGCAATGATCAAATACCTGCAGGCGGTCAAAGATGAGGCGGGGACATTTGACGAGTTCCATCCATGTCAGGTGCCCCGGTCAGAGAACAATCAGGCGGATGCTTTGTCCAAACTGACCTCATTCCGCCACTTGTGATACGCCTAGGTCAGTCTTCTGGGAAGTCATGGAAAAAAGAAGCATTGAACCTGATCCCATTGAAATCCTTGACCGAAGCTCCACCTGGATGGACCCCATCCGGGATTATT